ATAAGGACTAATTATCTCAGGTGAGATGTCCTGCATGACTTTGATCATATCCCTTTGAACCACTTCCACACCATTAGTCCAACCTTGAGACACCACACACATTTGAATGAGGCCCCTTGGCGTGTGCATGACAGTCACTGGTCGGCTGATGGGATCAATGAGAAACTGATCATAGCCAGAATATAAATTAATTAAGGAATAAATGCATCGATCAACAAAGGATTCAGAAAGGAGATTAGCATTAGGGGGACTATCTGCATCACGTACCGTTACTTAGTTGAGCTTCTGAAGATTTTGTATCCATCTCTGTCCACCCCCTGGTTTCCAAAAGCAAAACCAGTGGTTAGCATACGGTCCATCAGCGGGTTCAACAACATTAGAGATAATTTTCTTATCAAGGTACTTTACTACTTCTACCTCTTACTTGGTTGGCCTGTCATTCCATGGGATGTGATCAACTGTCCATATTTTTGCCATCTTAATCATATCCACATCCAACCGCCCTCTTTCTTCATCATTAAAGGAGAATGCACCAGAGAACTCTTGACACACTTTGAAGATATGTTCCTTCTCTTTAGGCAGAATAAATTGATTTGAGTCTATCTTCATCGTGTCAAACCTTTCCCTGGTGACTCTATTCCCTAATTTTGCAGATTTCCTTAATGCTTTGATAATTTTCCTTTCTTTTTGCAGTGTCTCGTCATAATCCTTCTCTATTAGGACTGCCACCGGGTTCTTCTTCACCCCCATGGACTCATATTTTCTTCTTGACTCAGTGACTATTTTCCTAAAAAATGATGAGTTGATGCAAACTTTAATTTCATTTTCTCACCCTTGGCAGTCTCGACGACCTTCTTAAATGCCTCAATTTGTTCATGTTCGTCTTTGAGTTTGCTAAGAGTTTTCATCATCTTAAAAATCTGATTGATATCAACTGAGACTTCCTCTTTGAACTCTTGTTTGTCTTTTCCTTTTATTTTTCTTATCCTCTCGGCAGACTCTTCTCTTCTAATTGAGTTGGCTGATATCTTGTGTTTGTGATGATAGGCCGTACAGACCATGAAGGTTTGTTCTTGTGCAGTCTCTGGGTCTTGCGGACTGATCCAGGACGACCCTTCATGACTGAAGAATTGGACAGCCTCCATCCTGTGTAAGAACGAAGTGCCCAGAATACAGTCATGGTCCAAGTCTGGTACCACGAATCCCAATAGCTCGGCTGTTATCATCATAACTCAGATAGGCAAATTGTCAATAAATCCCGATACGAAGAGCTCTCCAGCAATACTGCTTAGTGTTTGCCTCGTGGGCCTATCAATAGCCATGTCACAGACGTTCATTGCATTCTGAGCGATAAGTATCATTTTCGCCCCAGAATCCACTAAGGCTCTGATTTTCACTTGATTAATATAGATAGTTAGCTACCCACAGCCCATGGTTGCGAATGTCATCTTACATCTTGGCAAGGTCCTGTTAACCTGACTGGGAAAGACTGATCCCAGGTAATTAACTTTCATTCTTTTCTTTTCAATTAGTTTCTTCAGTTCCTCTCTCAATTTAGGTGTTAATGCCATTACCTCCTTGAAAGACAAAGTCATTTATGTTTCTTCCAACATCTTAGTAATTACATCCGTAATTACAGTTCCATCCTCCAACTCACTCTTGAGTAAGAATTTTCTCTTCTTCCCTTGTTCACCCGTTTTGAATGAGGGTTCTGGCTCTTGATCATCAAGAATTTCAATCAGAGCCTCCTCGGTCTTTCTTTTGTTTTTTTCCTCTATCATTTGAGGTTGAAAATGTGCTTGAACATTCCTTACTTCCCCAATCATTCTATTGGGTTCCATAACGAGTTCTGGTGGTAATTCACCTTCAGAAGACATCATGTTGGCCGAACAACCAGACTTGCTAGAAGAAAATGTTGCTAACTCAGCGAAAATCTGGGAAGCAGAATTCTCCCCTAACGAGTGCTCGCTTAGAGTGATTTCATCATACATGTCCTCCACTAAAGTGAGGGACCGCAATGGCAGCTCAATCATGGTGAGAGAATCATCAGATTTTTGTACGAGTCCCTTAGGCAGTTCGCCTATGAAAGTGTGAACATTCACATTAGTCTTTCTCTTCTTCTTTTTCTTCATCTTTTCATCATGCTTAAGGGAAAAAAGTCTTATACCTCCAGGATGCCTGGGATCTAAGTTGTTCCATGAACTGTCACAGACATGACCCATTGCATCCTTTTTTGCCGCCCCACTCTTCACGTCATCTTCCAGTGGCTTACAATAAGTGGTAGTGTGACCCCCTTCACCACAATAATAGCAAGCAAAATTATTCCTTGGTCGCTCGCCGTACTTCCTTCTCTCTCTGTTCGCTTTTTCACCGTTCCCTCCATTCTTTCTGGATCTGGAGAAATCCCTTCTTTTACCATAATTTTCATCATCATCATCATCATCATCATCATCACCACTTTCTGCCTTTTTCTTTCCTTTCTCGTCTGTAGCATGATTCGCATGCATGTAATTGGCCACAACTCCTTGAATAATATTTTTAGCATTCAGATTGTTCCCTCTGTTCATACCGTTCTCAGTCTCCCAGTCTTTGGCCAATGTATTGATCTGATTCAGTGACCATTTCTTGTGAGAAACTGTAGGTAGGGTTATAACAATAGCAAAAATTTCATCCCATCTGAGAGGATAGGTGTTGAGATTGATTAAGAACAGTGTGCCTTTCATTATCAGTAAAATTAGTCAGGAAAATATGACATTTCTGAGCCTCATCCAAGTATGAAATTCTTCTGGCCGTTCTGATAAAAGTCTGGAGAAAAACATTAAAAGTGTCATACTTAGCCCTTCTGATGTTGAGGAGATCATTGGTAGTAGTTGGAACAGAGTCTTTCTTAAATTCTCTTTTCATTCTTTTTTTGACCTCTTCCCATGTAGTGATCTCTTCATCAACTCTTGAACAGCCAACCTCGAGTTAGTGTCACAATAAGATAGAAGATGCTTAAACTATTGTTTATCTGTCCAACCATAATTGAGACCAAATAACTCGTATTCATCCAATAAATCATTTACTTGAGGCCCTCTGAAGCATGAAATCCTCTCATCTAACCTCTTTACTCTTGCGATATCTGATCCTCCTTTTATAGTATCAACTTTCTCTACCAGTTCCTGTATAACACCTACCAGAGTCTCCTCATTAGTTCCTGCAGAAGAACTTGGTCTCCCTCGTCCTGCCATTTTGACCATAAATTCTCCCTGATTTATTTCTTCTCTCACTTCTATCCTCCCCTTTCTTATTTTTCAGTCTCTTACTCTTCTTGGAAGAGATACAGGTTCGTTTCCCTCTTCCCTCATTTACTCTACCCCTTGAGAGTTCTGTACATAGAGAGTGTAGGCAATAATAGACTGGGTGGTGATCAGGGGCAACACAATCCTTCTCAGTCTTCCAATATAATCTTCAATCAGCTCTCTTTCATCATCCTTACTCAATCTTATGTTATACACTTTTACAGTACCCCGGATCATAAAGTATCGTGTCAGGTCTATAATCTCATAGTCAAATTGCATTGCTTATGAACCACTGTTAATCCTTCTTGCAAGAGAAACTATTTCTCTATGACAGTGGTATGATATTCTCTCGACAGTTTTCACTTTCACCACCTTCAATAAATAACCGATCTTAGTCTGGTCAGTAACGGCTCTTAGGGCAGAATCTCTCATCTGATCAAAGAAAGGTTGCAAGAACTCAAGCTCATCCAAGGTAGAGAGACTCCTGTTTGAGATCCGAAGAGTCCCTTCTGCTTAAAACTGCTTTAACTATTCTTTCTTCCAGCATAACTCCAAACGTTAGTTGTTCAACAGACCCAGGCATTATCGATCACCTTGGACAGTGTCAAGAGAGGTAGATTTCTGGGTGTGCCGGACCCGCCGGGATGGCGGTCCGACAGGATGGAGTAGAAGGGTAGACGAAGGAGGAGGTAGAGATGGAGCTGGAAGGGACAGCGCAGCTCCGACGCAGACTCCACGCGCACGTACTCCAAGATCTGCAAAAGTGAAGAATGACAAAAAAACAGACAACTGCTGGGGTATACCCCCAGCGGACTGACTGACTGGACTTGACTGGCGTGGTACCGACAGTGGTACTGGGCAGGACTAGAACGGCACACGGCCTGTGGGGTCAGGCCACGACCTGGTCCCACAGGACAAACTGGGCAAATAGCCAAATAGGCCTTGGCTGTAGGCCAGGGCAGATGAAGGCCCGCTGCACGATCCTCAGACCTGTAATGGATCTCACGAGCCATAAACACGCTATCCGCAAAAGCAGCGGAACTCTGCAATAAAGAAAGTTGAGAAATCTAGGATGCGGAGCAAGCTCGATGCGGAGTCCATAGGATGCATCCTAAGCTACATAATGTCAAAAGAAAAACAAATGTCATGCGATGCATCCTAAGCTACATAATGTCAAAAGAAAAGCAAATATCTGGTATACATATCCTAACTAACAACAGAAAATGAAATGTAGCATGATACAATCCTAAAGTCCTGGGGGCAGTGGCCTCAGTGCTGAATGGAAAAGAGCAATATGTCACAAGATAATGTTATGTCGCTGAACCACTAAGAGTGGGATGGTCTCAGAGGGGGTGAATGTAGCCTAAGAATCGAAACTCCTGAGGGCAGTCACACATGAAGGTGGGATAGGTCATCAGGCTCAAGGTGGGAGAGTGGTGGCGAAACAAAACCAATGACCCTAACAGATAGACCATCAAGGCGGGTAATGCTCGACAAAAGGGTGACACCATGCAGGGTCGATCATGAAAAGGGGGAGCCTGGAATAGGGTGGAGCTATGCCGAACTGGAGGCATGCAATAACCGACGCTAGGGTGATGAGGGCAGTGGATGAGGGAAACATGCACACGACTCACCCACTGGGAGAGGGAGCTAGATCTGGGAGCAAGGAAGCCAAGATAACAGTACGGTCCCAATGCCTATGCGATACCAAGGGAGAGCCAAACTCAAAGAGACCCAGCTAGGTGAGAACCATCATGCGACAGAGGCAAGGGAGTATACAGGGTAGGGTGGTGACGTGAAGTACTTATGTCCAAAGTAGCTGAAGTCGTCGAAGTGGTCGATGACGTCGATGAAGTAGCAGTCGAGTCGATGTCGAAGCAGAGCCGCAAAACGCTGACATCGTGGAGAAGAGCTGATGATGGAGTACCTGATGGTGTGAGTCAGTGGGGAAAGATAGAGGATAAGAGTGTCAGTCATCGTAACACGAAGGGCGACGATGAGTGCGCTGTGGACGCTCGGAGGCGACCATCTGCTGCTGAGGAACGACCTCAGAGGGAGCGGGCTCGTCCTCAGCAATCTCCTCAGCCGGAGGAGGAGGAAGAGGGTCAGTCGGCTAAGTAGAAGCAGATATCTCAGCACGACGAGCACGATCATATGCACGCACCAACATCCTGGCGTGCTGCAAGTGCTCGAGGGGCTCCCAAGTAGCCTCCTCATCATGGTAGCCCTTCCAACGCACAAGGTATTCGATGCGTGGAGGGGTATCGTCGGTAACTCGACGTGATATAATGTCGGAAACAACGAACTCCTCGTGACCGTCCACCATGATAGGTGAAGGGCGCTCATAAGGGCGTCCGGCGAAGCGCTCGGACGGTCTGCGATAAGGACGCAGCAAGGAGACGTGGTAAACATCGTGTACGCGAGCCTGTCGAAGGTAATCAGGTAGCTTCACACGGAACCTGACTGGACTAGCGGCAGTATCAGAACCGACGGCCTGAAGGATGCGGCATGGACCGAAGAAACGACGCCTGAACTTCCGAAGCGTATCTGCTTCGAGCTGTAAGTGGCGTGCGTCGACGAGCGATCGTCACTGACTTTGAATGGATGATCCATTCGTGATCGGTTCGCTCGTGCGGCCATGCGAGTCTGGGAGTCGGCTTAACTCTCATGTGCGCGCTTCATAATCGCCGCCATGTGGGTGATCCAGTCATCAAGCGCAGGGCAACGAGTGTCTGGGCGCAACCACGATGGTCGTAGGAAATCAGCGGGTACGCGAGGGTGGTAGCCGAGGTCGCAATAGAATGACGACATGCCCGTGGCTGGCGAAACAGCGTGGTTGTACACAATCTCCATGTGGGCTAAGTGTAAGTCTCACTGCTGGTCATTCCTAACAAACTTTCGGGAGATATTACTGAGAGTTTTATTGGTGACCTCAGTCTGACCATCCGTCTAAGGGTGGTAAGACGATGAGAAGCGGAGCTGGGATCCGTACACCTCGTGTAGGCGTCGCCAGAATGTGCTGGTAAAGCGTGGGTCACGGTCGGAGATGATGCTCTGAGGTAAGCCGTGATCTCTCACGACTTGGTCGAAGACGATGTCGGCGACCTCACGAGCGCTAATACGATAGCGGCGCGGGACAAAACGTGCACGCTTCGTGAAGCGATCGACGACGACCAAGATAGCATCATGACCGCGCTCAGTGGGTGGGCGGAGGGGGCCAATGAATCCATCGAGATGGACTGCCAACGACCCTTGGGTATGGGTAAGGGCTGAAGTAATCGATACGGAAAGTGGTTCGCACTGTTCACCTCCTTGCAGGTAGGACACTCCTGGATGTAGGCTTTGACGAAGTCCTTGGACTTCGGCCAGACGTATAGACGGCAAACACGAGCCAACGTCTTGTGGAAGCCCATATGACCAACAGTTGCTTGGTCATGGAACTCGGCTACAACCTGAACGGGGAGTTGTCCGGTGGAGGGAACGCAGATACGTGGTTCTAGCTGACCAGATCTGCCATGCCAGTACACGAGACCGTTCTCCCCGAGGGAGTATGAGGGGACGGTCTTGCCACTCCGCAGGGTCGCGTGGATGACGCGATAATCCGGGCAGTGACGGTACTGGGTGCGATATGCGTCGATCACCGACTGATCAACAATGGTGATGGAGATGGCAGCAAGATGGATGGGTTCCTGATTGTGATCAGGACGGCGGGACAAGGCATCGGCGACTCAGTTCGTTTCACCCTTGATGGGCTGAGTGGTGAAACTGAACTCGGATAAGTCACGCCACCAGCGTGCCTGTCGAGGGGAAAACTTAGGCTTCGTGAGGAAAGCCTGGACAACTGAGTTGTCCGTGCGCACCGTAAAGGGCGCCCTGTGCAGATAATAACGCCAATGTCGGGTAGCATAAACTACTGCGAGAACCTCACGTTCATCGGCAGTGCAGTTTATCTCGGCAGGCAGTAGCTGACGGGAGTAGAAAGCGATCGGGCGATCCCCAGCACGAGCCTCAACAGTCCCATCTTCCGCGATGGTCGGGGAGTAAGTAACAGGAGGACTCTCAGTGGAGGGAAGTGGTGGGAGGGTAGGCGTCAGTCGAGAAGCAGTGTCAGCATGAGGGGGGGGGAAAGGAGGAACATGGGGGTAAGGTGAATCTGGAGGAGAGGGAAACACCTGAGAAAGGACAKCTCCTACTGCAAAATTTGACGCATCGGTGGTGACGATAAAGGGGCGATCAAAATCAGGGAGGCGAAGAACCGGCGCACAAGTCACCGCCTTCTTGAGGGCGCGGAAGGCGTCCTCGCAGAGGGGGGTCCAAAACCACGGCGGGTTCTTTCGGAGGAGGGTGGAGGTAAGGACGTAGGAATACCTAGCGTATCCCTGGATAAAATTACTATAGTAGCTGGTGAGGCCTAGGAAACTGCGAAGCTGCTTGGCAGATGTGGGGACGGGCCACTCTGCAATAGCAGTGATCTTCGCGTCGTCCATGTGGAGATCCTGGTCAGACACATGGTGTCCTAGGAAGTCCACTTTGCGCTGGGCAAAGCGACACTTACTGAGCTTGGCATAGAAGCCATGCTTGCGTAGGCGTTGTAAGACATCGCGGAGGTGTCTGAGATGATCTTCTAAGGTACGACTGTAGACCAGGATGTCGTCCGGGTATACGAGAACGTATTCTTCAAGGATGTCCCTGAAGATGTCGTTCATCGCCGTCTGGAAGGTGGCGAGTGCATTGGTGAGGCCGAATGGCATCACCGTGAACTCGTAGTGGCCGAAGCGTGATCGAAAGGCGGTCTTCGGCTGATCCTCTGTGGCAACGCGGATCTGGTGGTAACCGCTGCGAAGATCGATCTTCGTGAAGAAGCGGTTGTCTGCCAGACGGTCAAACAGCTCATCCACGCGGGGCATGGGATAATTGTTCTTAACTGTGTAACGGTTAAGGCCGCGGTAGTCGATGCAGAGGCGGAGAGTTCCGTCCGCTTTGCGAGCAAAGAGGACAGGTGCACCCCAAGGGGAGTTACTGGGTTTAATGAAACCCAGTAGAAGGAGTTCCTCAAGCTGATGCTTGAGTCCCGTCGCCTCTGGAATCGAGAGTCAGTACAGTGCCTGATGGTAAACACGATAGTCAGGCACGAGCTGGATAGAATGCTCAACACCGCGCATCGGGGGAATCCCGCTGTATGAGAAATACGGGGGAAAGACGTCGCGGTACTCTCGAATCAGGTCGCGAACGGTCGGCTCTAAGTCTGTCGTGAACCGTGTGAGTTCCTCAGCATCTGCGTCGGCACGAGACGTATGTGTGGACTCGACAGTCGACGGCTCAGGGGCCTGGGACGTGGGGGGGGTATCCGCAGGCTGACGGGTGGACGTAGAGATGGGAGCCGCGAAGATGGAGGAAGGGTCAAGGGGATCGGGCTCCAGAGATATGAGCTCAACCTCGGGACAGAGTGGATCATAGCGAAGAAGATCCATGATGTTCACTGAGTAGAACGTGACGTCCTCCTGTCGTATGAAGTGAGCAAACTGACGAGGGGAAGTCAACGCGATGTGGGGTTGGGACCCTGAGGGACGAGGGTCCTAGGGAGGTAGGTCGGGAGGGGTGTCGTCCGTGGTTCCAATGAACGGAACGCGATGGGTCTGACCACAGTTCGTTTTGAGAACGATTGTCTCGGTCGCCCATTTGGCCTCTGTGCCATGGAACCAGCGAGACCAGGGAGTACCAAGGATAAAGTCGTACCCAGTCCCCAGCACGTCGAAGTATGCGGAGGAATGGTAGCGCCTCGGCGTCTGGGTACTATCCGATGGCTGGAGGGTGAGGGAGAAGTGGAGGTCGGGGACCGTCTGATCGAAGAAGCGTTGCGTCTTGTTATCTCCGAGGGTAACGGAGATAGGAGAGCGAGACCCAGAGGTAGCTAGGCGAGCTTCCTCAACCACGCGAGGGTGAACGAAATCTCCCTGCGAGCCAGAGTCCCATAAAGCGTGGTACACCCTCGTAGATGTCCCTAGGCGAATAGGGATGATGAATAGGGTGCGATCAGGGTAAGAGAGCAAGGCAAGAAGACGACGTAGGACGTTGATGTGTCTCGTGAGGCGCTCCTGACGAGCTTGCAGAATGCTCAAGTCCAGGAGAGATGACACAACGTCATCGCAAGTCGCCAGCTGAGCGCTACAACGGGCTGTGTGAATGGCGCGACACGTCGGAAGTCTCGGGGGAGAAGCGCTAGATGCGGCAGTCTGCTGGGAGGCAGACGGTACCTCGACAGACGATGGGGCGGAGCGAACTGCGTCTGTCGTGTCCTAAGGGTCCTCTGGTGGGGTAGCCAAAGGGGCAAACCGCGACTCGGTGGTCGGGAAGCCGGCTGCGTGCGAGGCCTCAGGGGCACAGTGCACCGTGGCTAGGTGGATGGGGCTGGCCGGGCGGGGCCGGGGGGGGACTGAGATCGACGCTGATGAGAGATGTCAGCGTAGTGCCGATCGAGGGCGGTATGGTACGGACACCGTGAGGAGGTGTGTCCATCTAGGCGGCAACGAAGGCAGCCGCGCCGGGCCTCGAGTGCGGCATGCTCCTCAGGGGATAGAGCTCCGCAAGGAGGGACATAACCCTGCGAGAGGTCTATGTGAGGAACCATGGGTATGCGGGCGCCAGCCTGTGCAACCCGACTACGAGCACGACCTATGGCAGACATGGCCATCAGCAAGCGCTCGGCCACCGGAACAGTGTCGTCATCCAAGTGATACTGGATGACGTCTCGTAGCTCGATGTCCTCGGGGGCGTCCCCAAGGGTAGGGTCAAACTCGGCCGAGGCGTCCTCGCCGTACTCAAGAGAACTGTAGCGCTGAGAGAATGGCGCTCCAGGGCGGGCTGGTCGACGAAACCGGCCAGCGAAGGAGGATCAACCGCAAGTAGCACCATGTGACTGGGTGGCGGCAGCGGTGGATCACGAAGAAGATGGGGTGTCGGAGAAGCGATTCCGCATCTTCTGATACTGTCGAGCAGCCTCGTAGGCTTGCTCGGCGGAGGCGAAGCTCTGTCGCTCGAGCTCAATACGGTAGTCAGTCGGGAGACTGACTATGAACCTGTTGGTCAAAAGGACCTCAGGTAGGAGTGCCTCATCGCAAATGAGGCGGGCGTCCTGGAACGCTCTGACGTGACGCTCAAAATCGGAGGGGGCGGAGGACCCACGCCACTGCGTCTGGGTGACCCGGTCTAGGGTGTCGGTCGCATCGTGGAGGGTGCCGTAGCGGTGGTGGAGGAACACGGTGAAATCCGCGAGAGTGGGCGCCTCACCAGCACGAGTACAATGGGTATAATAGTTCTCCCAAGCGGAGAACACACTGCCTCGCAATTTAGTTGCGCGGGCGGAACACCACAAGTCCTGACTAGTGTTAGTCAGTGTCAGCGCGCGTGTGGCAGTCTGTAACCAGTGCGACACAG